CCCCAAAACCCCAAAACCCCAAAACCCCAAAACCCCAAAACCCCAAAACCCCTTATTTGATTTTAAAATTGAATAAACTCCCACAATTTAAATGAAGACAGAGGAAATCAAGGAAACTAAGAGATCAAAACCAGCTGCTAAGAAGGCAAGGAAGACAAGAAAGTAAGTCATTTTTACATATTCCGTACTCATGCTAACTTCAAAGCATATTTGAGGGGCCTTTTCTTGGGTCCAAATGAATAATTTCTCTATGTTCAAAGAGGTCTCTCTTCATTTTCACTGATTTTGATATATTTTTGTGCTCTTTTTGTGGTAAAACTCTCCAGAAGATCAGCTTCTAGTCGAGAGGAATTAATAGATTTGGCCAAAGAGAGTTGAGAGTATTTTTAGAAGAATATGTTTCCAATCTTGTTCTAAAGTTCTTCTACTTATAATAATTTTTGGTATAGATCCAAGGGAAATTCAGGTTCAAATAACTCCAAAAAGTTGAAGAGTGATAAGAAATTAGTTGCTCTGAGCCGAAAGGTCCTGATCTGCCTGAAGAATCGGAAGGAAAGCACTGGTACAGAAGTAAGCCTTTTTCCTTTCCCTACCACTCCAAATTCTTCGGCACCTAGCGGAAGAAGATATGGACAGACTCGGTAACTTGTATAGATTGCATATCAAATTATGGAGATACTGGCAAAGGAGGAGTCTAAGGTAAATATTGGCAACAAAGCTTCCTTATCTGGTGGGGGATTAAAATTCCTTATAAACAATCGACTGGTTCAGAACTTTAAATGGCTCCATTGTTGGTAGTCTTTCATATTTAAAAATTAAATCATTTGGGTCAAGCTTTGTCATTTCCAGTGTTGTGATGTTTTCCTAAAAACTGCTCAGAAAAGATTAATAAAAATGTATCTGATCTTTTTGTGTAGAAATTGGACTTCAAGAACGTCCAAAGGAGGGTTTATGATGCTCTCAATGTATTCTCAGCCCTGAATATCATTAAAAAAGAGAAAAATAAAGTCTCAATCACTGATCACGGACTGGAATACTTGAAAAGAGATGGAAGCACTATTCCTATAAAATTACAGCCTGTTTGTAACCCAGCTAAACCGGATGTGATAAAAGCTGCAAAAAGCTGAGAGCTCAAGGATCTTCAGGTAAAATTCTGCATCTTTTGCTAAAAATTCATATGAATTTGAATTTTATTCTGACTCAAGAGTTTCTCCAACTGAATCATATTTTGTAGGCTAAAGTAGACCAGAAGAAGCAAGCATTACAACAAAGGAGGGACCTCATAAAGGAGAAGACGTTGCAAGTAAGTCTAAGTTCCTCACCTCCTGGCTTTTCCTCTTCTGTCATCTACAAAATCTTCAATAAACCAGCATTTGAGTGTTTCGCCTTGAGAGGATTTGTACTGTTTACAGAGGCTTTTCTGGAAATTTAATGAATAATAATTCTCATTGCTATTTTAGACTGTTCTTCTGAAAAAGTTGCTGGTTAAGAACTGCTCAGAACAGTTTAATATCCTTACGGATGCCAAGAAGGTCCGGTTGCCATTCATTCTCTGAAAGCTTGACAAGGGGTCTGATTTTGACATTTCCATTGGAGATGATAACCAGTCTGTTATGATTAGTTCAGAGACAATCCCTTCTTTGTACAATGAAAATCATGTTTTAGAAGAGCTACATAATTCTAAGCAGTAAGCCCATGCGTTGCTTTAGTTCTCTGACTGTTTCTAGGGGTCTTGAGGAATCTGAGATTGAAGAATTGCTTGGCAGCACCCGCTATAATCAGATAAAGACCGCATTGGATAAGAATAAGATTACAAAGTATTTACTCTCAAAGAGAACAGAGGTCAAAATTCAACATCCAAAGAGAGATTTAATAAAGAAAACAAAGGAAGAACTCTTATTGCAATGAAAGGAGAAAATCATTCTAGATCCTTCTGATGATTCGCCTGTAAGAACTTGTCAGCCGAAGATGCTCAAGAGGGAAAGGAAAGCTATGAGGAAAAGATTCCTCTCCCCAAATTTTGATAAAGAGAACCGTTCGATTACAAGCATGAGTGAAGCAAAAGAGGAAAACATACACTCTCGGAAAGGAGGCATCTCCCAATTTGCAACTCCAATTAAGGAGGAACTAGGTAGGGTAAGCATTTTGGACAAGATGCTCTACAAGAATCACTTTGATAGTTATGATAGCAGAAGTCCTATTAATATGAGCGTGTTTGAAGAAAAAGACTATCATGGAATTACCCCTGTTAGATTTTTAGGATCTAGCCATAAAATCTCCCCTGAGGAATATGAATTAGAAATTGGGGGAGATATCAAATTGGGACCAAATGAAATTTCCCCTTACCATGATAGATTCAAGAATATCTGGCGCTCCTGCATTGAGAATGATGATAGAAATCCTTCTTTTGGGCTAAACCAGCATCCTAAAGGCTTTAGGAAGGTCATCACCAAGAGAACTCCTTGAAAAGATTTTAGTAATCTGAATGCGAACTACTCGCCAATCAATGAGAATTGCTTGTTGTCACCAACAAAAGATCACGGAATGCTGAGAGGAATGGCTGCCTCTCCGTTTTTAGTGAAATCTCCTTTGTTGAAAGCCTTTCCCGGTCTATCCAAGGTTATAACAAGCCACCGAGATGTTTTTGATGATGATATTACCAAGGCTGAGCATTCAAATTTATTTTCCAGCAAGTCTAATCAACTTCAGTAATTGATAGGCAAAAATACTTGACCTAGCCTCCTTGTCTGTTGTTTTACTCTCTAAACCTGGTTTATGTCAGAAGTTTTAGAGCTCTGGTCACTACATTTGTATTTTACTTTTTACATTTTATGCTTATTTTACCATTTTAGAAAGTCTGGCATTAATTTAATAATAAATATTTATTTGATTTTAAAAATGTCTTCAAGGCGGTTCACACCTCCCGGGGTTTTGGGGTTTTGGGGTTTTGGGGTTTTGGGG